GTCCTTGCAGGATCAGTGAGGTTGTGCTTTATTTTTTGTTTTTAATGAAAACCCACCTAACTGCTCACAAAGGCTTCTAAAGGTCCAGAAAACCCCGATTCTGATGGTGGTAAATCAGGTTTTACAGAGAAGTGCTGCACTCTTAAAACCAAATTTTCCAAAGTAGTCATGTATTTTGGGTGCCTAACCTGAAATACATAGGATCTAGTTTTCTGAATGGTTGAGCACCCACAATTCTAATTCATGCCATTAGGGACTGCCATTGCTCAGCAACCCTGAACATTAATCTGTAAGGTGACTGTGTTCCGCTCTGATGGCTCAGCATCTGTATACTCTGTTCTGGGGAAGTCAACTGGCTGTATGCTCTGCCTGAAGCTGAACTAAAAAGTGGCTGTACATGTTGCCAGCATGTGCATGATGGGACGTGCACGGAGGGTGGCCTTTGCGGCAGTAAAGGGCACGGTGCATTGTGCACCTGAATGAGCAGGGTAAAAGGAATCTTTTTTTATTTGTTTGTTTCGGAAATGCCCTGTAGTCAAATTGGTTTGAACATTCAGCAATTTCTAATGAGGTTCATCCACTTCATTTACTTTTTTTTAAAAAATAATTATATTATGACATTATTTGGTCATGTATGCCTTAATTTTGCATTCACAGAATGTGATCTATTTCTAACCTGTTGCTTAAAGTTTTCTCTTCCCTTCTCATTTCCCTCTTCCTCCTCCTCCTTTCCCTCTTCCACTTAAGCTGCCCTAATGTGGAGACAGCACTGAGAGAGAGTTTGACTTTGGATTGTTTGCAAATTCGAGGTTACTGATCGCTACAAAAAACACTTTAAAGACTTTTTCTCCTGAGTCTATGAACGCTTGAGAGAGACAGTTCTAAAGGCCTGATCCTGCACCATTGGTCAGTGAATGAGAGTTTTATTATTGACTTTAATAGGAGCAATCTGCACCCTGAAAACTCAAACAACACTGGCTCTTGTCTCAGGCCTGGTCTACACTAGGGTGGTGGTGGGGATCGATCTAAGTTACACAACTTCAGCTATGTGAATAATGTAACTGAATTCAGCGTACTTAGATCTACTTACCGCAGTGTCTTCACTGTGGTAAGTCGACTACTGACGCTCTCCCGTCGACTCTGCCTGCACCTCTCGCTCCAGTGGAGTACCGAAGTCAATGGGAGAGTGCTCGGCGGTCGATTTATCGCATCTTCAGTAGACACGATAAATCAACCCCTGCTGGATCGATCGCTCCGGAGGTAAGTGTAGACATGCCCTCATTAAGAGAAAACAGTAGCAGACTTCAAACTAAGGGCCTAATCCTGAAAGGTGCTGAGTATCTCCGCTCCGATTGACTTAATTTACCTAAAAGGGCCTTAAATTTATAATTTTTTGGTGGTACCTCATACCCACCTGGAGATGAATACTAAATGTTTTTTGAAGAGTCAGTGGTTGAACTGACCAGCCTATCAGCTGCGTCAAACTAGCTCAGAGGAGTTTCAGGAGTTCCACTCAGTAAGAGACAGACAGACATAAACAATTCAAAATAGTTCACATTAGCAGTAATGTATAGTTATGTTCTTACCAGTTAGATGAAAGGTGAAAAGCATTAGACTGAACTCTTAGTGAGTCAGAACTTAAAAACTTTACTTAATGATCTTAAAGGTTTTAACTACTTCTACAGTATAAAATATTTAGGATACTATCTTGCAGATACCAGTTTTTAATTGTAAATACATCAGTATAATTTAGTTACTGTCACACCGAGGAGTTGACAGAAGTTGCTTGCAGAACATGTACACTATTAGTAATCTTTCACTTTCCCATCTCTAAGTATGTTTGGCACAGATCTTTATTAAAAAGGCATGAACCTTTTGAGAATTTGTACATAATGGGAATTTCAGTTGGGAGTGAAATTAAGAAGGGCTTTTTGGATCTTTTGGAAGAACCTGTCCCAGCATTATAGAAATCATACAAAAGTGACGGTAATTAGCAGATTCATGCAGTGACATGATTTATCTAGAATTGATTGGGGAGGCAGGAGATTTAAAGTACTGTTATTTAGAGATGGAAAACTAGTTAGATATTATTTATTTTGTTGCGGGAGGGGAAATAGGGGCATCATGCAGTTTTTCTTAGAAATTATATTTCATACAAGTAATGGGCTAGTCTTAGTTATAATGGACTATTTCCTTTTCACACTGAGTGTTGTAATGCTTTCTACCATAATACTATATTTAAATAAAGAACTATATGTTTGAAGACTGTTAATCAAATGTCCTCAATACATTCCTCAGGCAATAAATCAACATAACGAGTATTACTGATTTTGGAAAGTGGGGAAAAAAAGATAAAGATGACACTTCTGACTTCATCATAATGAGATCTTTCCCTAAAATAGGCTGTACCCAATTTAAATACATTTGTATTAAATTAAAAGTCAGTACAGGTAAGGAGAAATAATTCACACTAGCAATAAATGATAAAATGGGGGAAGGAGCAGAGCAAAGAGCTGTAGAGGTATAAATTCAGTGGGCCAACTTCTTCCGTGTAAATTTGGTGAAGTTTTTCCAGATTTATGCCAGTGTAAATGAGAACAGAATTGGCTTAAGAAAGTGCAAAATAAAGTGTTTCCCCTTAAAATTAAGAAAAGGCTGACTACAGGGAACACAGGTGTTAAGGCATTGATTGACGCTATGATTTGCATCAGGCTTACTGCAGCTTATAGTACAGATGGTACTGTGGGTATTGCTGAAACAGTAATTCATGGTTTCTGTTTCCTTCCTTCTCTATTAGATTCAAAAGAGCTGAATAGTCTGAGGGTGGAATTTGTCCATTTCCACTTACAGCCTTTATCAAATAAACAGTTTTCTATTGCATATGAAATATTTCCATATAACTGAGTTGTCTGTGGTTGTTTCCTTGTCAAATTGTTGTGAACTCTCTCTTGTTCTTTGACTAAACGAGCAGTTTCTGGGACTCTGTTACTGGACTCTGCGTTAAGCAGTCTGGTCTATTTTTTTTACTTCAGTGAATATTTCTCCTTTGTACATTTGGTAATTACATTGTTTAACTTACTAAATCATGCATTAAATTAAATCTGTTGGACATAATGATTAGGGAACACCGTTACCTCTGTGTTTTGTTAAATGATCATTTGGGGGAGAGGTGGGAGCGGGGGGCAGAGGATAGAAGGCCACAGGTATGACAAAAAAGTTGTAAGGGATTAAGGCACTGGAATCCAAACTTTTACTTAAGAAAATTAAACTTCCAATTGTTTTGGTTGCTAGGATTCTTTTCACTCTGCAAATCAATATTGCATTTTCTTGTCAGCTGTGCAGCAAGCCAGACTGAAAGCATCAACCGAGGTGTGAATGCTGTCTGTTCATTATAATAGGGATCATCTTGAAAGCAAGGATGAGAGAGATTATTACTTACATGCCAATGCTAATAATACAGGAGTACCCAATTTACCGTTGAAATTAAATTTCAGTGTATAAATTAAGTTGTTGGAGCAATCTGGAAAATGCTATTGAACCAATTTTTTGCCAAAAAGCAGAACATTTTATAAGGAAAATGTTAAGACAATGTTTTACTTTTCCAGTCAGCCCTAATTCTTAGTCTATTGTGGGAAAAAGATCTTCTTAAAAAAAATTCATAACAGTAAATTTTGTAGTTTGTCTTTAAAGCCACATATAGGTGACAGTGTATCAGTGGTCACGGATGCAATAATTTTCATTCTTCCATGTATACTGCCAAGCTAGAATATTGCAGGTTTTTTAACATTTCATAAAATAAAAACAAACCTCCATCAACGGTTTATGCAGACTCCTTTTGATCTTTTGGACAGTTAATAATAATGCTTTTTGGGGGGCTTTTTGTTTACTTGGTGGGTTAATGTGTAGGATGTGTTAGTCTGACTTTATATATCTTAGAACTTAATTTGCGTATTTGATTTATTGACTGTAGAATAACGAAAATGTGATGTACCCTTGGGACTTGATCCTGCAAACCTTTGTGCTTGAGTCTGTGCTTGCCTGCATAGTTCAGTTGCCTGCACTTGGATTATGCCTATGAGTAAAGATTACTCCTGTGAGTAACCGTTTACAGGATTGGGTCTATAGTCATATAAGAGAATGGAGTGTTTCTGCAGGATGCAGACATAAAACACAATATCATATTAAAGTCTGATTTTGCAACATTCTGAGCACCTCCTAAAAAGTGCTGAGTACTCTCAACTACTGAGAATTTAGGACCTTGCAGAATCAGCCCTAGAAGGTAATGAATTACCTCTAATTTTTAAAGCATCGTCACTCGCTAGATGGCCAATAATTAAAAGTCTTGAAACTAAGATATGACAGTTCTTTCCTCTTTCTAGTAGACATTTGCACACAAGACGCAGAAGTGCCTAGGACTTGAATAGTTTGTATAAATTAAATTAGTTTATGGTTTTAAACAAAGTGTAACCTTATTACAAAGTTGTGCTCCCAGCAATATTTCAACACTGAGTACAATTTAAATGCCACTTTGTAAACTACAATAAAAGATGTTCCAAAGTACAAATAAATTCTAGCATGCACGTGTGTACGCATGTCTTCTAATATATCGAATACACGTATAAACACACCATATAAAGAGAAACGCAGTAGCTCTACTTAATATATTACAATACAGTTGGATTCTTTCCACAGTTTTAAATGCAGTCATTATTCTGTCCAGCCTATTTGGAAAAGTGTGCGTAATTCATAGCTCTCCCACTACCCCTTTAACATTAAATAAATGCCTCATCTGTTGCATCTGCAGGATTTTTTTATTCTTTTTTTTTTTTTTTTTAAAGAAGAAAAGTTTAGAAATTGTTTCAATAGTTATGCTAGCTTTGAGCAACAGGACACATCTTCTGAATCCAGTGTTTTTGGAAATAATTATTGATGCTGATGATTTTTTAACCAGAAATGGCCATTGGTTGCTAAAAGAAGCTTTCCTCCCACCTCTCTCTTACCTTATATGTATGGACTGTAGAATTCCCTGGTTTAGCTATTGCTCTATGGTGTTGGGATTTCAGTTCTCCTAAGCATCAGAGATGTGAGCATTCCGGCAGTTACACCAAACAATGAGAGAGAGACTCCTTGCATGCCCCAAGCCTATGGAGCATTACGTCATTGCATTGCCATATAAGGAACTCCGTGTTGTGCAGACTCGTCGTGTCTGACTAGTGTACTTTAGTGATAGCCAGAACTTAGAAAGCTTATTAATGTGTTCTGGCTCCAGCTGATGCTCAGGACTGTGTGAAATATTTCATTTGTCTACCCAGTTCATGGCCAAAAAGAATGTGCGGAAGGCATGGGTAACGGCAGTTCCTCTTTATTATTGATAATAAAGTCATGGAAAGTCGTTAGCTGATTATTTTATAATGTTTTCCTCTTAGTTTCTTAGCCCACCCAGCATTAGAAAAAACATGGGCATCTGACTTAATGAAGTTGCCTGGAAGGGGTTTGTCTTTTTTTTTGTTTTTAAGATGACAAAAAATGTGAGTTTAGCTGAACTCCTCTGAGAATGATATGAGCTTCAAGCCTTCTCCTTTTTACTTTCTGTAAAGAGTCAGGGTCCTCAGAGGATAGTATTTTATTTCCTGATGATGTAACTACAAAACAATTCTTCAAGTGATGATGGGAATGCCAGATGAAATCCTATTTTATTTTCTTCAATGTTTTTCCTACAAAACCCTTTTTTCCTTTTCACATGTTTGTGTTTCAGCTAAGGCAATTAGGAGTTTGACCAACTATTTTTAGTGAGAAGGTTTTAAAAGAAGCAAATCATTTGATTAAGGGACTGAGGGGACAAACAGGAAGATATAACTGTAGGACTTAAAATATATCTCTGATTTCCTCTCCTCCAGCCCTCCCCCCCCCAAAAAAAACATTGGGGGACTATCTGCAATATGTAGGGGATTTGCTTGTTGAAGCCCCATTTAGGGTTAATGGGAGTTAACTGATAAAACCCCTACATATTGATATGAGAATTAGTCCATTAAGTACTTTCTAAACTTATGTTCTGCTCTGCTAAATGGATTATGGATGCATCTGCTTCATTTGCACCCCTTGAAATGTTAGTCTTCAGATGAGTTGGTGTGTGTGTTTACTTGAATCTGTTAAAAAGCTCATAATAGAACATTTTTATTTAAATGTGAATAAGAAGGCCAATGTGATGGATAGTACTTGTGTTTAGATAGGGATATTGTTTCCAGGTGCTAGAACAAATAAATACCAAAAATATGTATTTTATGGAAAAGACAGTGTAAGCATAATAAACACATGGGGTCAAACTTCTGTCCCTTAAAAGATGTTCATACTTTAGTCAAAAATTTCAGTGGATCTCTTTGTACCACTACTGCAGCGGAACTTATTCCAAATTTTGTCTTTGTGTGTGTGTGTGTGTGTGTGTGTACGTGGGTATGTATGGGTGTAATGGGTGTGTACATACATGTGTGTGTATTGCATGAGAAGGGATCAGACCTGTACATCTTTCAAACCTAGTTGGCATTATAAATTCCCATATATAAATCCCTCCCAACCTGTATCTGGGAGACTGATATGCCTAATTATGAGAGAGACAAGGTGATTGAGGTAATATCTTGTATTTTGTTGGTGAGAGAGACAAGTGTTCGAGCCTTGTTATGGTTTGCTAGTCCTATGGACAGAACGACATAATTTATTTAGCACTATATGTAGATAACTGTCCATTGGCTGAAATTGGTGTTCAGATCCCTTAGCTAACATATGTTTGACCAGGAAATAATACTTTACACTTGTATAAGTACCTTTCATCAGAGTGCTTTACAAATGTTAATTAACCGTCACAATACCACATTGAGGTGCTGTAGCTCACTTCAATTTCCACTGAAAAGCCACCTCCTTAGTGTGGGTCTCGGCAGCTGTTTAACAGAGCATAGCAGCACTCCATAACATTTTAAGATAGGAAATGTAAGCATTTCTTTCCCTTGTCATTCCCCACTCTGTTTTCTTCTGTGTCCCTCTCTCCATGCTTCATGCCTGCTCTCCAATGATTGATCCTATCTTCATGTTAAGTTTACCTAGGTTCCAAGTGCCCTTCCACATAATATGATCTGTTAGAATTGCGTGTGCAAAACTTTGAGGGGTAGAACGTCCCAGCATCCCTATAAAACAAAAAGACCATCCTTCCCAATCTGGCTCTGTTTTGATGCTGCTACAGGAACACCCGGCTGTTAAGGAACAAAGCCCAGACAGTGCTCATTGTAAGCTTGTGACATCCTCCTGTGTGGGGGCAGGGAGGGAAATGCAAATCCCCCTGTTTATAAATCCGTGTTTACAGCAAGGATGGCCAAAGTATGACCTCGTAGTGTTCCTAATTAATCGTGCTCTGCAATAAAAATGTTCACATCTGTAGCCTGTTGGAAAACAGCTTTGCCACAGTGCATCTGCCAAGTATGTAATTACCTGTTTCCACTTGCTTCTTCTATAATGTCACAGTTTAATAATGGCGGGGATAGATGACTATTCCAAGTACTAAGTTGAAATAGTGAAGAATTTTGTGTCAGGAAATATGTAATAAGAATTTCAACTCACTGATTACAAAAATTAGTCTCAGTGTAATAGGTTGCCGAAGAGCCTTCCTTGGTGCTTGTTACACCTCTAGCCCAGAGTCTTTGGGTGAAATCCTGCCCTTATTGAATTCCCTTTGACTTCAATAGAGCCAGGAATTCACCCTCAGTCAGGATATGTCTGCACTGCAGCGTGGGTTGACTGACCTTGCATGCTAAAAACAGTAGCATGGACATTGCAGCATGAGTGGGAAAACAGGCTACCCATCCTCGTACTGACCCCGGGGGTGAAGCGTGTTTGTACTTGTTGGCTAGCCCATGCTGTAAGGTCCACACTGCTATTTTTAGTGCAATAGCGTGAGCAGAGCTAGTGCTTGTTTGCCTACCTGAGCTGGGAGTCACACTCTCAGCTACAATGTAGACCTACCCTCAATGCCAACCATGCACCTTGTACAGGTCAGTACTCATTTGTTTACCCCTAATCAATCAGTGATTCCGTGTTGTCATTATACTGATTTGCAGTGTTTCTATCATAACGAATGCACATACCTAACGTTGTATGCTGCCCATGAGCCTTCAGTTTTGTAGCTCAGCGTGGCATAAACCCAAACTGTGGCCACTTCAAAGACTCCATAGACCCCGCTGCTGAAGCTGAGGTTTTCTGGTTTCAGTGAAGATGCTGAAGTTGTCAGGATGCTGGAGTGTCCTGTTCTTTTAAATTAATTTTATATGCAAACCAATGGAAACACTTTAAAAAAATTATTTATATTTTAAAACTCTGTGTGCATCCTCCAGAAATGATTGATTATGCTCACATGTTTCTGCGGTATCAGGGCACAATCCTGCAAGATGCTATCATATATGTATCAAGTATCAGGGGGTAGCCGTGTTAGTTTGTATCCACAAAAACAACAAGGAGTCCGGTGGCACTTTAAAGACTAACAGATTTATTTGGGCATAAGCTTTCGTGGGTAAAAAAACGTAAGTCCAAATAAATCTGTTAGTCTTTAAGGTGCCACCGGACTCCTTGTTATCATATACACCTCTACCCCGATATAACGAGACCCGATATAACACAAATTCGGATATAACATAGTAAAGCAGCGCTCCGAGGGGGGGGGGCAGGGCTGCGCACTCCAGTGGATCAAAGCAAGTTCGATGTAACGCGGTTTCACCTATAATGCGGTAAGATTTTTTGACTCCCGAGGACAGCGTTATATCGAGGTAGAGGTGTATGTATGTTAGTATTGAATATAGAGACAGTCCTCTTGGCATTAATGAATGTTTTAGTCATGCATCATCTTCCAGGAGCTTCTTATAGGTTTGTGTCCTTACAGAGTTTACTGATATTTCAGTACCCAACACCTTGTTTTATGCTAATCCTTTGCTATTTTAAGGTTGCTAAGTGACTTTAGTGTTATTGTTATTTATTACTTGTACTACAGTAGCACATAGGAGCCCCAGTCATGGGCAGGACCCTATTGTGCTAGGCAGTGTACCAACAGAGCAAAAAGATAGTCCCTGCCCCAAAGAATGTACAATCTGCATAAATTCCTACATTGCTGCTAGTTCGGATTTTAGCAGGGGGAGTGAAGCGATCTTCATTCTACAAAATGATTGGTCCGACTTTGTACTCACAGTGTGTTAAAAGATGCAGTCCTTGTGAGTGAAACTCTCTGCATCATTGGGAGGACTGCAGAGCATTAAGGTCTGACCACCATTCTGTACCATAAAAGAATTAGATAAGAGAGGGGAAAGCTTATTATTTAGGTCATGTTGCTTCTCTGTCTCCCTGAAAACAAGCTCTGTTTCCTTAGTGACTAATCATAGTTTTCAAAATTGTTGTTGCACTCGCAAGTATTATGGCAGGATAGAAAAACCAAAGAATCATAGAAATTAGAGACAAAAAGAAAACCCTATTAAGTCATCTAGCCTGTCTTATGCCAGAACAGGACTGCTCCCTGTAGTATGTTCTCGAATGCATTTTGTTGTTGGCTGATTACTCTTTAAATTAATGTTACTATTTAAATTGTCAAGTATCAGAGGGGTAGCCGTGTTAGTCTGAATCTGTAAAAAGCAACAGAGGGTCCTGTGG